CACCCTCAAGGCTTTATATTTTTTCGTTACATAGATCTCAGAACAGGATCATTTCCAGGAAGACGGGAGGAGGACCTGGGAGAGCCATAGGTGGTTCCTACTCAGGCATCTACAGTGGCCAGGGTCTGGTGGAAGGTGAAAAGGTCAGAGCCCCCCAGATGGCATCCTGACAGCCTGTGCTAGGGAAGCCACTCCGTGGCAGGAAAGGTCAAATGTTTCCTACCTCCCTCAGTTCTCTCCTGGGGAAGCAAGGGCTTTAAGATGCTGCTGAACAGGGCGGCTGCACCGCTTCCAATCAAGTCTCCAAGGACTCACAGGGGTTTCGACCTCTACAGACGAAGGTGGCTTCCGTGAGATGGAATCAGTTTGACAAGTCCAGTTCTCAGCCAACTTAAAATGCTGACTCTTACGACAATTCAGTGAAAAGCAGCAGGAGCTACCCTGATAGACGCACAGCGACATTGCTCCCTGACCAGGGCACTCCCTACTAGCTCCCTTTGGGGACTGCCTGCCTCTCCTGCTGTCTCCGTGAAATGCTTTCCTTAGAAAAAGAAAGATATCATTTAATGTGCTTTTATTAAATTTTAAAGCCTACTACAAGACATTTGAAGAGCTAGTTTACCAGGGGCAATAACATATCTTGGGCAGACTCTACAGTGAGTTTTCAAAAGCGTGACCAGGGTGGATAAGGCCGGCAGCTCAGGCTGCTTGGCTGCCCTGCGTCGTACAGCATTGTCTACTGTTAGCTTTGAGGAAGAGAATCCAGAAAATGCCACTAAGACAAAATGGAAGTACAGACGCCCTGTTAAAGGTTGCCTAGATGAGGTCCATCCTGCGCAAAGTTCTGCACGCTGAGTGTGGCTTCCTACCCTCCAAACTATAAATCTTCAGCTCTGAGACTGAATGCCCTGTCTTTGGTTTGAGGCAGGGTCTTCGTTTGTGGTACACATTGTCTTTGAACCCACGTCAGTCCTGTCTCAGCCTCCTGAGTTCTGGTGTGTCCCACTGCACCCAGCCCTGTGCTCACTTGTTATGTGGGTTCCCTGCAGTGGTTTTGAGGCAGATCTAGTTAGCACTAAGATGGAGATGTGTCAGCACGGGATCCCCAGTCCCGGATTCAGACATTCATCTAAAGTCCTCTGAGTGCCTACCACGGTCGAGATATTTCCCGGTAATGATGGCTTTTGCTTCTGTCTGTCATCTTAGCACCCTGCTCCTCCATGTAGAATTTGATTGGTGGAAGAGTGATGGTGTGGGACTCCCCTAAACCAGCTCATCCAGCCAGCCAGCCAGCCAGCATTTGTGGGAGAACGTTCCTGAGCCGAGGAATATGCTCAATAGAATCAAGACAGTCTCGGCTTCAAAGTTGGGGGCAAGTGGGGCCAGGTGACCAACATCAAGATCAAAGAAGGAATAGTTTGAAAACAGCTTGGCATCTTGGATGCTGGGAGAAAGATAAGGCTGTTTTGCATTTTTAAATTTTTATTATTTTTTTTATGTTTTGGTTTTTCAAGCCGGGGTTTCTCTGTGTAGTCCTGGCTGTCCTGGAACTCCTTTGTAGACCAGGCTGGCTTTGAAATCAGAGGTGTGCCTGCCTCTGCCTCTGCCTCATGGAATGCTGGGATTAAGTCCAACAGCACCTGGCTGCATTGCTTTGTATTTGCAATAGAGGGACCCATTTGAGGAAGGAAATCTTGGAGGCATGTCAAGTTTGGGAATTCAGGGAACAAGCAATGGATTTCATCTAGGGATTTGGGAAGCAAGGCGGGACTGGGGCATGGGCTGGCTTTGGCACACCAGCCCAGCAACAGCATGCCCTGTGCCCTATGTTACTAATCAGAGTCCTTTTATGAGCCAGTCTGGGATTGAAGGCCTGCAATCCCAGCTGCTTAGCAGGGGACAAGAGGATTGCACATTCAGAGCTATCTTGAGAAATTTAGAGAAACTGTCTCAAAGTTTTTATTTTGTTTGTTTTTTTTTTAAAAGAATAAAGAGAGCTAGAGATGTGGCTCAGTGGAGGAGCACATCTTGGTGATTGTAACCAACTGTACCAAAAAATTAAAAATTGCCGGGTGGTGGTGGCGCACGCCTTTAATCCCAGCACTTGGGAGGCAGAGGCAGGTGAATCTCAGTGAATTCAAGGCCAGCCTGGTCTACAGAGTGAGTTCCAGGACAGGCAGGGCTGTTACACAGAGAAATCCTGTCTCAGAAAACACAAACAAAAAAATTTTAAAATACTATATGCATAAAATAAAATTCAATTGTATTTCTCACTGATCTTGCAATCTTAGTGTACACATGAGCGTGCGTGCGTGCGCGCGCACACACACACACAGGCATGCACACTAGCATGCACGCACACACCCTCTCACTTTTGATTGTATCCGATCAACTGGTGGTATAACTCAGTGATAGAACACTTTCCTGGCAGATGAGAGACCCTGGGGTCTGTCCCCAGCACCACAACAGAAAGAACAATCAAGGGCGTACAACAATAGGCTATGCCTTGTCGTGACAGGGGAAAGCTGGGGTCTTCTGCAGCCCGGGTGTTTCCACGTTCCCAAGAGCTATGAAGATTACAGCTATGTGCCCTGCTGTGAAGGCGGCTTTCACATCATCCTTCTGCCCTAGGAACATGTTTGCCGATAGCTGGGTTGACAGTAGCAGGGATCTGGAAAAATTCTGAAACGTTTGAAAAGGTAGACATGCAATAAAATAGACATTTAATTAGCCCTTAATTAGAAACGCCAAAACACAATAGTCTATGGAAACTGTTCATTGTTCAAACCCCCGGTGTGAAGAGCTGTAGCTTATGAGCCTGCCCGTGCACAGGGGGCGACTCTGACTAATTTTCTTCTTACGATGCCCTCCGCTCCCATCTGTCCAAACATTGCCATCTGAATATCTATAGAAAAGGCTTATTTTAAAACTCTGTTCTTCCCGTTTTCATTTTACTGTGCTCTAAAAATGCACATACTTCTCCTGAAAGGGTGTTAATTTCAGCTCAGGCATAACTGTCCCTCACATGTAAAAATGGAGACACTTACGTGATCCATACTCTGATTCTCATGAATTACGAGGAGACACAAACAGGGATGGAGACAGAGAGGTACGACCCAAGAGAACCAAGGCAGAGAAAAATGATTTTCAATTTTTTAACATTTGCTTATTTGTTTAACAAGTGTGTGTGTGTGTGTGTGTGTGTGTGTGTGTGTGTGTGTCGTGGTGCACGTATGGCGGTCAGAGGACGACTTGAAGAAACGGGGTTAACCCTTTCACTGAGTGTGTCCTGGGGACTGAACTCAGGTTATCAGGCTGAGCCCCGAGGGTCCTTACCCACTGAGCCATCTTGCCTGCTCTCTGACAGCTTTAACGTAGTAAGGACCAAGCTGGTCTTCCCTTGACTTTGAGGCTGTACGATCAGGAATGCAGGGAGAAAAGCAGTGCAAATCTTTTGAACATGAAGTCTGGTAGGGAGAGGGTGGGAAATGAGAAACACAGTGTTGCTTTAGGTCACCGTGAAATGCAGTACAGAGACAAGGCAGCCAAGGAGCCATTTATTTATTTAGTTATTTAGCGACAGGCTCGTACATATTCCAGGCTAGCTTCAAATTCCCTTTGCACCTAGAGATGACTTTGGGGTTCCGCGCTCCTGTCTCCTCTTCATTAGTGCTAGGATGATAGGAGTGAGCTACCACATCCGATTTACGCAGTGCTGGGCATCGAACCCAGGGCTTCATGGATCTAAGGCAAGCACTCTTCCGAGTGAGCCACATCCCCAACCATAGAGAGGAATTCTTTAAGCAGATTCAAGGAGAAGTCCATGGCTTTCTTTTTAGTCTTAGTCTAGCAAGTACGGGCATTTGTGTAAGAATTCAGAAATGAGCCAAGATAAGCAAGGCTTTGGCTACTGAATTACAAAATGAAGTGTGAACAAAAATTGTAGGAAACTCACACTGAAGGAGGAATGGAAAATGTTTAAACGCAGTTTGAAAATCTCTCATCTCTTACATCCCTACCAAAGTTTCCCCTCCCTCCCTTCCCCTAGTCTTCCCCCTCCACTCCTCCTCTCCCCCGGATCCACCCTCCCTCTGTCTCCCCTCAGAAAAGAGCAGGCCTCCTAGGGACATTAACCAAACACGGCGTAATGTGCTACAATAAGACCAGTATATGCCATCCCATCAAGGCTGACAAGACAACCCAGCAGGAGGAAAAGGGTCCCATAAGTAGGCAAAGAGTCAGCAACCCTCAGTCCCGCCATTAGGAGTCTCACAAGAACACCAAGCTCCTCAGCCACATCACATATGCAGGGACAAAGGTCCGAGTGCCACAGGCTCCCTGGTCTCTTTCAGTCCCCATGAGTCCTGGTCAGTTGATTCTGTGGGCCACCTTCTCACGGTGTCCCCGACCCTTCTGAGTCCTCCGGTCCTCCTCCGCAGGACTCCCTAAGTTCCGCCTACATATTGGCTGGGAGTTGCTTCATCTGGTCCTATCAGTCGCTGAAGTCTCTCTGGTCTCCTTGATGAGGATTTTGCTAGGCTCTGGTCTCAGAACACTCTGTAGGCAGGGCAAGCTGTAGGTCAAAGGTTTTGTGGCTGGGTTTGCGGCCTTGCCTGGTTACAGAGATGGCCCGTGTTCAGGCTCTGTGTCCCCCATTCCCAGGAGTCTCTGCAGGGGTTACTGTCACAGATTCCACGGAGTTTCTGCTGCACTAGGTTTCCACCTCACCTCCACAACGCCCCCCCCCCAATTGCAGTGGTTTTTCCCATTACCCCCAACCCCCAGTAGATCCCTCCTGTTCCAACCCAGCCCGCCCGTATTCCACCAGCAGAATATCCTCTTTCCCCTTCCTGGAGGTCCATCAGTCCCCCATAAGCTCTCCTTGTACCTAGCCTCTCTGGGTCTGTGGATTGTAGCATGGTGATCTGTTACTTACAGTTAATATCCACTTATGAGGACATGCCATGTTTGTCTTTCTGGATCTGGATTACCTCACTCCGAAAAATATGGGATGCTTCATGAATTTGCGTGCCATCCTTGCTCTGGAGCCATGCTAATCCTCTCTGTGTTGTTCCGATTTTAGTGCATGCACTACAGAGACAAGCGCTCTTTCCTTTCTAGATAGGATTCCGTATAGTCCAGGCTGGCTTGAATCTTTCTTTGTAGCTGAGGCTACATTTGAATTCTTGATCCGCCTGCCTCCATCACCCAAGTGATCACAGGCATATGTCACCCTGCCCAGCTTAGAAAAGGATACTTTGAGCCAAAGAAGAAGAAAACAACAAGAAGGCATCAGAATAAAGACAATGAATAACAAAAAACGATAGTTAAGAAAAGGATAGAGCCGGGTATGGTGGCTCAGGGCAGTAACCTGGTGCTTGGAAGTAGGAAGGAGGATCAGGAGTTCAAGGTCATTTTCGCAAGTGGAAAAGCCAGTGCCCCTGTGGCTCACCCAGCATCTCATTTCCCACCCCGCCTGCTCCCTTCCAGGGAGTGCAGTCCTGTGAAGGAGGCTTCAGGCGCCAACACCCTGGATTTGTCACTCTGCTTTCCTCTGATCGTTAGTCTCCTCTGGACGCCTGTCCCAGTGTCACTGGCATCCCCTCTCACAGTGAAACCCCGTGGAAAGAGCAGCAAGAGAGCCAGAAGGAAACAGACATTTCTTCATAGCTCTCTTTCCAAAGAACAATGGTAGTGGACTCCATGTCTGTGTTTCTTTGTGGTGGGCCCTGGCTATGTAGCCCAGACTTGCTGTGAACTCAAGATCCTGCAGCCTAAATTTCCTTAGTGATGGGATTACTGGCCTGAACCAAGATGCCTAGCTTGGGACTCTGAATCTCAGGGCCAAGGACATGGCCCTAGTTCAAGCTGGCAACCTAGAAGGTGGTTTCTGAGACTTTGCCAGCAGGGGGCGCTGCAGTGCCACTAGTTCCCAGGGAGCCACACAGATTTCCAGGGCATTAAATATTGGCAGGAGTGGAGGGCTGCAGGCAAGAGGCTTGATATTAAGAATGATTACCTGGAAAGGACCGGGTAGACTCTACAAAGGTCAGGGCGCAGTTCATAACCACAATTTCTATTCAGCTGTAAAGAAAAATGAGATTTGATAATTGTAGGTAAATCAATGTAATCGGAAATCCTCATGTTAAGCAAGAATAATCCAGACTCAGAAAGAATGAGTGTTTTCTCAAACAAAGAATTGAGATTTAAAACTTGTGTGTGTGTGTGTGCTTGCATATATGTGTATGCATTCATATACATTTGTTTGCAGGTTATAAAACTAGAAAGAGAAATGGGAGAGGGAGGGAGAGATCGTAAGGGGATGGGAAATGCCATGGCGGAGAGGGCAAGGGGCATGTGTGAGAAGAGAGCAGGAGCTCGGACGAGCTGTGTGACAGAAGACACTATGGTGGACCCAGTATGTTGTGTGTTCACCTAAACAATAATAACAATAATCAGCTTGACCCTGACAAGTTTGGTGCCGAGGGGTTTTGACCGGAAGTGGCCTGCTTGAGGCAGAGGCAAGCCTCTTTTGAGGACAGACCCCTTTCTCCTCCAAGGTAGCCTGGGAATCCAGGGACACCATTTGCCTGCGAGCTGGTGATGATCTGATATTACAGATGAAGCTGTCCCATCAGGTGGTACCCAGCTCACCACAGAATTCCTTCTAGAGCTTTCTAGAATATTTCTGAAAGCAATTTAGGGAAAGCATTCTCATTGTCTAGTTTTCTCTTGTGTCACACCCACCGAGGGAGCCCTGAAGAAGACAACGCTGTTCTTGGGAATTGTCCCCTGGGGTGGTGGCCTGTTTGGCCTCCGAGTCCCAGAACTAGCACAGTCGCTTAATGTTCAGCAGTGTCCTAGACATACAAAACTTTTCACTGTTTATGCTCCGTTTCTTACTGAATCTGTCACATTTTATGCTAACACATCTGCCATGCATAAGCCTGCATCACTGACTGCAAGTATAAAGGATGTTGTCAAACATGGTGCTCTTCTTCCCAGGAACTCCACACCCTGGCCAGAGGCCTCTTCCTCACTTTGAACCCCAGTGCCAGAGATGCCTCAAATGTCTGACTATGGATTGTCTTCCTTCCCTGCTAATGCCAAAACTGAGCTGAGAAATGTGTGCCCCTCCACTCAGTTCCAATTGCTGCTTCCATCATCTCTGAAGCCAGAGGACCGATTTGGCTGCGGATACCCAGAGGCAGGAGGTGATGGTTGGCGCCAAGACCTCTGAGCCTCTGGCCTCTGAAAGCACCCGCACTCATGTACACACATAGTTAAAAAAATAATAAAAACAATCTCAAAAAAAAAACCACCACACACACACACACACACACACACACACACACAGTCGGCTGAGAATGATTGGGCTAAGTGAGGAGGGAGGTACTGTCAAGGACCCTGAAATTCTGCAACTTTAGGAAGGACCTTAAACCCCATGTGTAGGGCCCGGGTCTACCCCTGCTCCTGGGGTTCATCTTGAGGACAGTTTCTGGTCATCCAGCTCAAACATTCTGTTTGCTTTTGTGTTCCCTCTGCCCTGCCTGGTGATTAGCTGTAGGGCATTGTTTACTCCATCTTGGGTGTGGCAATTTCCCACCTGCCTGGGGGAATTCCTTGTGCAGCAGATAGGTATATAAGGATTTCCCCAAAGTAGAATAAATGGCGTTCGCCTGATCTCCTTTCGAATGACCCAGGTCTCTTGTGTGTTCTTTCAGTCTCCAGGCCCTTGCCAGGCTTGCGTACAGTACAGTGGCGCACGAACTGTACCGAGAGGGTAACACAGAATCGGGTGTTACACCCGTGCAAGGGATTTTAGAGTTTAAACTAAATCATAGATGATTTTAGTAGATGATTTTTGTTGTTCTTGTTTTTTGATAAACCAGCCTGGAACTGAAGACTAGAGTGGGTCTGATGAGGAACAGTGGACTTCAAACCAGGATAATCTAGAGGGAGGCTAAGGCAGTTGTCCAGGCAACAGATGGTGAAGGGCTCCGGAGGCAAAGGGAGGGATGTTCACAGCTCAAAGGTGAACTGGGTAGGAGAGAGAAAACTCAAATAAGCCCAAGTTTCGCTGGTTTCCTTGACCAAATACATCCGTGCACATTCACCCAGAGGACTATGAACAGCAACAGAAGTAGGCTAGGGTCGAATAAAACAATGAGCTGAGTTTCAGGCTCTTAAGGTTTGGCCTGAAGATGGGATGTCTAAGAAGAGAGGGTCAAGGAGAGTGGTCAGGTTACACACTGAAGGGCGTCGGCTGAGTTAACTCATCACCTATGAATAGACTGAAAGACCTGGGTGAAGCTAAAAGGCCATGTTTGCCTCCGCAGGGCATTCTGTTAGCACCAAGAATGGAGAACTCCACTCAAGCCTCATCGTGGTCCATATCATATCCACTTGGGTTCCAGAGACGACATTCCGAGCATCACGGGGCTCCCACAACGCCGAGGGAGGCAGCCTCCTGGCCAGGGCTGCTTTTGCTCTGTGGGTCTTGTCTTTGGGTTAGTGTTAACTGTCAACTTGGTAGGACCTGAGAGATGGGCTTTTGGGTATGTCTTTGAAGGCTACCTTTGTTATGCTAACTGAGGTGCAACATTCCCTGTTTAGGATCCTGCACTGTTTAAGTGAACTAAGAGAGTGGAGCAGAGACATGTATGTGTTCATTGCTGTTCTATCAGCATCAGAAATGTCCTTTGTACTGCAGGAGCTTGTGGAACATCCACCTCAGTCTCCCTCCTCCCTTCTCTCTTACTTTTCTCTCCACCTTGCTCTCTTTGGTCACTTCAGAGGCCTATTGATTCGTGGTTTCCTTCAGCCTTCAGTGGGGTCAACTTGGCACCTCTTCCACACTCAGCTCCACTCCAGAGGACTCTGAGTTTCCGCTGCTCCTCCACCGGTCTCCTGTAGAGGTTCTGAGGTAACAGGCAATGGAAGACAGGGCATAGGGACCTGGGGACCTGGGGACCTGGGGACCTGGGGACCTGGGGACCTGGGGACCTGGGGACCTGGGGACCTGGGGACCTGGGGACCTGGGGACCTGGGGACCTGGGGACCTGGGGACCTGGCGCTGAGCACTTTCTGAACCTGCTTTGCTCCCTCGATGCCTTTACCCAGCATTCCAATGGGTATGATGGACTAGATGTGTCCACCAGTGTGTTCCCTGTGATGGTATGAGTCTCTCTCTCTCTCTCTCTCTCTCTCTCTCTCTCTCTCTCTCTTTCTCTCTCTAACATTGTATTGATATTTGGGAATTTCATATAAAGCACCTGATCACATTTCCCATTCCTCCCAGGTCTACCCTCCCACCCCTATGCCCTCTTCCAAAAAAGAAAAGAAAATACATCAGGTCCAATTTAGTTGCCCATACACTCATTGGAGTATGGCTAAACTCCCAGTGGCCAGGACCTGAAAGAAAACTGAGTGCTTCCCCACCCACCCCCGACTCCCAGAGTCCGTTAACTGTGAAGAGCTACACTTCGTCTTCTTTATCACAGTTTTTAAGGATTCTCTTCAATAGCGTTGAACTGTTTCTTAACTCTTTCTTTTGGGAGGGCAGAAGGGGGGGCACAGATGTCTTCAATGTCTCTCATGCTCAGTTATGAGTCTGTAGTCATCACTACCACTGCAAAGCAAGTTTCCTTGCTCATAATAGCCCGGGGCAGCATGGCTGGTGGACTTCCAGCCGGCCTTTGATGGCAGCGCAGGGACCATCACGGTCTTTTGAGGAAGCCGGATCCAGAAAACAGGCCATTCTCCACCACAGCTGCCGTGTCTCTAGATCCCTCTTTCTCCTGCTGACTCCCTGCTCCTCCGCTCTGTCCTGCCAGCCTTCCCCCATCTCCCTGCACATTTATTCATCGCAGTGGCATTGCAAACTGCAGTAATAGTCATTGATCTGGTTCAAGGTTTCCGGTTTCTGAAGCACCGTAAATCCTGGGCTATCGCTGAGAGTCCTCTTGGATATCTTGTTACCCAGGGTCAGGGTGATGTAACAGCTGCGGAGGGTGTCAGGGGACACGCCTCTTTGCTCTCAGTGTCGGCTGTCCTCCTGGCTCACCAGTACCACCGTGATGGTAAAGCTTAGTTTCCTAGTTTTCA